GACCTCTCACTAAAATCTGAGGTCATAATATACCTGATTCCAACTTTTCATCATTTTGGGAGCGGGCTTTTCTGCCTCCTAATAAAAAGTTGCTAAACTGTGATACGAAGTTACTTAGTTACCGAGTACGGAAATAGTGACAGAAGAACAGTAAGTGTTCCTGAAACTGGTTAAAAGAGGGTCGTTATCTGGACCATGCTACCCGGCTATTAGACTGAAACATTGTAAAAACTAATGTGACGTGTCAAACGTATTAATTGTCGGCGAAAACTCTTTAAAATTCCCAACTTCGTCTTTTAAACCAATTGTTTCCAAAACATTTACCGGAGTTACTAAAGTAACAGCACCGCATACTTTACTCAACGTCCACCACACAGTTTGCGTGAAGGTTTGCTGCTTATCTTGAGATCTTACAGCATGTACCCCGCTGTAACTCCTCACCAAACCACCAAGCAGACATTGAAAGGTTTATTTTGGATAGTGATGTACGAAACTGGCAGTTTTAAACAGCGGACCGATTATCGTGTTATACACACTCCGCCGTTATTGCTCCTTCGCACCGTACACCAAACATTGCACCGTTCTTTCATGTTGGTAGAACGACATTTTTTTAAACTTGAAGTTTCTCGTAAAAATTGTGATAGACTGAATTGTTAGGATGTTTAAGAAGATAATGATATGCATTTGAATGTATATAATTTAAATAATGAAGAGCAGAAGCGCGACTTAAAGCGAAGCAAGATCTCATGCACACCGAGCTTTTGCATGCTATCACGAGCAAGTATACTGCGTTCTAATTGGTCAAAACAAGTCACATGATGTTGATAAAAGCTTTTGATTGGCCGTGATGATCTGCTCAATTAGAATGAGAGCTAGCAGTTTGGAGTACAGGTAAATGTTAGTATAAGTTAAATATTAAGTGTACTAATATGCGAGGTGGGGTATCAGGTGAGCCACTCTTTCTGTGGGTACACAAACTAATTACAACTAATTACAAGTCACCAATTATGTAATTAGCTGATTAATTACCAATTGACTGCTGTGCTGGGTCTGCAGTTGATCATTTAAGCCTTATATCTCTACTATAATTCAAAGAATTGTTTTTGTTGTCTGTATGTACGACCGCCCACGTGCAAAACAAACGAAAAATATGAACCATAGTAACCATAGTAACGAGGATTGGTACACGCACGTGCACGTGCAATGATTGTTTTAACGTCATTTTGATCGGTTTTGTTGATATTACGCTGTGTTTAGTACAAGCAACATTTAAATCGGCTGTATCTTCGGTTGAAACGTATATTTTTTGATGTGATAAAAACTGACTGCCATTAAGGTACCAAATAAAACTATTACCTTCCTCCTTGCGACCACGGGCTTTCTAGTTTGTCTATAAAATCACATTTCACTGCTGGGGGTAGATTCTGAATCCCCTCGTGAATCCCCTCGTCTTGAATTCGAATGTCATATTACCATCGCATCGATCAATAAAAAGTATTTTTACAAAGAAGGACCGAGTAAAATAACTTCCGGGCAGTTTAGGTTCACTTAGTGAGCTTAGGGTTAAAGTGTGAGCTTCAAATTACGAATACTGAAGAGAAAACATTCATTATGTTCAAACAATTAGTAGACGGATTGTTTAAAAAAAAGGAGAAATTATGTCCTATAATCACAAACATTTCATCGCGATAAACACACTCGTAGTTGATACATTAGCTTTTGTGAAATAAAAAGCCTACCTTCGCACAATTTTCTTACATTATTACATCTCGAAACTCTGTTACATCTTCATTTAGAAATATTGTTCAAAGATAGCTCTGTTACATCTTCATTTAGAAATATTGTTCAAAGATAGCTCTGTTACATCTTCATTTAGAAATATTGTTCAAAGATAGCTCTGTTACATCTTCATTTAGAAATATTGTTCAAAGATAGCTCTGTTACATCTTCATTTAGAAATATTGTTCAAAGATAGCTAGATTTAAACTGCAAATTTAGCTTGCTCAGTTGTTTAAACTACCTACAAACAGCTGATGTGCTGTGCTCGTAGTGTAGTGTAGTATATAGTGTAGTGTAGTGTAGTATTATATAGTGTAGTATATAGTATATAGTGTAAGTTCATTGTTTCTACATCACTACCTACATATACAAAGGAGCAGATAAAATTCCACTGTTTACTTTTATAAAGGAGCAGATAAAATTCCACTGTTTACTTTTAAAACAGGATGAGAAGGAGGTGTCTCGTTTTATACTCAAGTTTCAATGTACATAAAACTATTTTCACTATAATAATAGAGGTCCACGTTAAATTTGTTAAACATATGAAATCTTTTAATCTTAACAAGGACCCCCAGAATAGAAGCTTTATATCAGCCACAAGGTGGCTTGAGAGGACAAGTGAGATTCTGCTATGTAAAGTTGTTGTGTTTGTTTTAACACAGGAATTAGCCTATTAATCATGCAGTGGAAGGATCCTAATGACGTCAGCGGTCAGAGGAGGTTTGTGTTAAAACAATGTTGTGTCTGAATACTAAGCAGTGTGTTTTTGTGATTATATGACCTTAATGTGAGACAAGAGAAACAACATCTCATTCCTTGGACAACTTGAGAGTAAACACACTACAACATGTACAACATATCACATTACACACTACAACATGTACAACATATCACATTACATGTAATTCCACCGTTTAAGGGGGCCGGGGGGGTCTTCATCAAAATTCTCTCGAAATCGACTTTATAGTTGTTTCTGATAGAGGGGAGTGATATCTATCAGCTGCTTTTGGTCCCATAGAAAAATATTGTTCCTAGCCAAAAGTATCGCCGGTCAAAGGTCAGCGCTTATGTGTAATTGTATTGCGCGAGCGATTTTCAATCGCACGTTCTGAAAATCGAGTCTAAAAATCTATCTTCTCCTACATTTTTTGAGCAATCCCCCTTAAACTTTCAGGATATGTTCTTAGGATCAGTTAGAAGAGAACTCTAGAGCCAGAATTTTGAGATAGGCCTTTAAAGATTTTTAATTCGATTTTGAAAATCTTGGACCTCTAAAAATCAAGGTCCAAAATTTTCAAAATCAAATTAAAAATCTTTAAAGGCCTATCTCAAAATTCTGGCTCTAGAGTTCTCTTCTAGCTGATCCTAAGAACATATCCTGAAAGTTTGAGGGTGATTGCTCAAAAAATGTAGGAGAAGATAGATTTTTAGACTCGATTTTCAGAACGCGCGATTGAAAATCGCTCGCGCAATACAATTACACATAAGCTCTGACCTTTGACCGGCGATAATTTTGGCTAGGAACAATATTTTTCTATGGGACCAAAAGCAGCTGATAGATATCACTCCCCTCTATCAGAAACAACTATAAAGTCGATTTCGAGAGAATTTTGATGAAGACCCCCCCCCCCCCCCCCCCCCCGGCCCCCTTAACCAGTGTAAAGTATGTGGTCAGGGTTAAGGTACTAACTACCCCAGATATACACGCTGTAATTCTGTAATAAGGAAGATGGGTAACTTCATACAAATATTTGTTTATAAAATCTGAACTGATAAAAAAGTCCATAATCTTGGTATTTCAACACTAAGTCTCGCTTGAATGACTTAAATGTACATATTTGTTGGGTATATTTTAATGTCGAAGCGTGTAATAAATGTTAGAATTTATTTTATTTATTTATATAATACGTCGCACAATCTTCTTAATTAATTAACGATGATTGCTGATAACAGGATACCGACACATCAACTGTGCAGCTATATTCCTCTATCATGTTTATGTAAATTGTAAGGGCACCCATTTTATCCTGTCACTCCCATCTTGCTGGGAGATAACTATTAAATTTGCTACAGTAAAACCCCGATTTACCGCGGAGTTTGGGGGGAAGGAAACATCCGCGGTAAATTGGGGTTTTGTTTGATTTACGTTATGTATGATTAGCCCTTTCGTGGGAAAGGAAATGGCCGCGGTAAATCGGGGTTTGCGGTAAATCGGGGCGCGGTATATCGGGGTTTACTGTAGTACTGTAGTATCATGTATAGTGTATATTATTTAATCACACATTCCATACAATAACCACTACTCGCATTGTTAACTCACATTGCACATTTCCACAACTATACTGTAAAATAACAAACCAAAAGTGGCTCACACTTTTACTTACTCTTTCGTAGTGATAAACTTTTAACAGTTAACCAATGCGCTAACAATATATAAATATAGTGAGGTTTCCCTCCATTTGATCCGGCAGTTTCCATCTCGACCTCCCTAAAACATTTGTTTCTCTTCTTTGTCTGGAGTAAGGAGATAATAGAAACTTCCGGACATGAAGTGTAATTAACAAAGGTAAATTAGTGTAATTAACAAAGGTAAATTAGTGTAATTAACAAAGGTAAATTGAGAAACCCCAGTTAAAAAGTAGAGGGATATTGCTCCCACTCTTAGACAAAGACCTGTAATCTGTATGTTAAGTAAAATGCAGATACTGCTATTTACTGAGCTGACACACAACCGACTACACACATCTTCAGAGGCGAGATTAAGATAACTTATCAAATATTAGTCCAGGGAATGTTACACTGAATAGGGAGATACACGTATACCATTGAACATTCAACATTCAACAATTTCACTTTCTAAACACAAAGAGTGTTGATCAATACTCAGGCCTGTTTCAGAAGAACTACAGTAACATACACGTTAGATCACACACAGTCAATAGAACAGCTCATCCGTTGTCATGGCAACAGCTATACAAATACAATGTACAGTGTATAATACAAACGCCACCTGTAGGCTGTACTGCAGCTCAATTAGGGAACGGCACTGTCCTTTTATTTCCTTTTATTGGTGTCAAAAGGTGTGTACATTAGTGTGTACATTAGTGTACATAAGTGTGTACATAAGTGTGTACATTAGTGTGTACATAAGTGTGTAGAAGCTAATGTAGAAATGTGTTTAATTTGTATATTAAACTACATGAAAATTAGTTTATTTATACAATGTAACATAATATTGTTATGGTGAATTTGTGATTAATATTGGCGCTTACCAGGGAGACAGTCTGGCAGGTAAAGTGTTTACATTGACCCTTGCCGGTGCCCTGAATCACATCAGAGCCGTGATCAGTGTCACGATTCCTAGACCGAACCCCCCAGTCTCTGATAGAGGCCTCCCGTTAGAGTCCGCCTATGCTGACGATGCTGAGCTTCTGAGTGAAGATGGTCAGAGCCTGGTGAAGATACTAGAGATTGCCAGTGATATACTAAAGGATTGGAGTCTCTTTGTTAACGAATCAAAGACGGTGTTTACAAGAGTGTATTTGGCAGATACAGATGCTTTAGATGCCCATGGCAATAAAATTAGAGGAGATGAAGAGTGGCGAGAGTCAGTGCTATTAGGATCAAAGCTCTGTTCAGAAAGAGATATTGTCAACAGACGCAACAAAGCCAATGTTGCCTTCTACACCTACAAGAAAGTCTGGTTGAATAGTTCTGTTCAGATCAGTGAGAGTAGAAAGCTGAAACTGTACGAAGCTCTTGTCACTTCAGTGTTTTTGTATAACTGTAGCAGCTGGGCTGCTCCTGAAACCGTAATGGCATCTGTCGACGTTCTTCAAAGGAAGCATCTGAGACAGATAATCAACACCTATTGGCCTACGGTTATCAGTAACGAGAACTTATATAAAAGATGTAATGTCAGTCCCCTTACTGAAAGGATCAAGAAAGCACGATGGAAGATGCTTGGGCACGTTCTCAGAAGCGGTGATGACACTCCCGCCTTCTTATCTTTCAGATTTGCATGTTTAGAATGTTTTGACTACAAAGGAAGGAGGGGCAGACCTCGTTCAAATTTATTTGATTTATTATTAAAAGACATTATGACAAAACAAATTATTGTGATTGTAAATAAAAGATTTAGTTTAAGTAATTTCAACGATTTAGTGTACAAAGCTCATGATAGACGTCTTTGGAGAAGTTATGGGTGAGTCGAGACTACTCGGCCACTCGATTTTATGATTTAATTTCTATTATCTTGTGTTTGCTGTATATAGTTGATTAATAATAACATAATATATGCACATATTTTAATGGCTCATAGGAATGTGAGCCACACAGAAGTCCTGATATTCGCTACACACTGCGCTGTACAAATATTATAAATTCCAAAAATTATAATCACGTTTTATATCAGTCCAAGTACAGAAGGAGAGAAAGTCGTTTGTGTTATCATTCGATTACACAGAACTTGCTATGTGCTCACGAAGTAATGACAGTAAAATAGCTATCATATGACAATGCACACGCATACTTATCATCTACATGCCTTCCTACCGAGAGAAATAACTTAAACATAAATGAACATAAGATGAACTAATATGAAACGATATGCTAACATAGAAACACAAACACACATTTCACATAATCTACACATGTAGTAATGACCGTTCGTTTGTTACTATGGATAAGTACACGTCAGACGATGGAGTGCCACGTAGCTTCCTAACGCACACTGTAAGTGTAATTAGTTTAACTGGAGATGGGTTGGGCTACTTAACTCATAAAATAGCATTTAAATATTGTATAAATCACCCCTTAGAGCTTAGCAGAATTTAAACTTAATTTTAATCTAATTTAATCGAAAACACACCATAAACATTTAAAAGTACGACAGGGTTATATAAATAACACGTGATCAATAACACCTGATAAATAACACGTGATATGTAACACGTGATAAATAACACGTGATATGTAACATTAGATTGTCCCGCCTATTTTCAAAAACCTACACAGTCTACAACTTATGAGTTCTAGAATTAAAATGCTAGGTTTTGCACTCCGGTGAAATAAGCGAGAAGGTAAATACTTTCCAATACTAGTAACATACTACAGTTTCGTCTTATCTTCGTCTTATCTTACTTACAATAAATTGCATCATAATGATTTAAGACGGTGTATTATTACATGCTCAACCGGTTTTGAACTGATTGGGACCGGTCCCTCTACAGTTGCAGTGACTAAGCTTCAGTCGTTACCTCGTTATTAGCACGTATTTTATAACTTTTCTCTGGTTATAAATTATCGGATTTCATGAAACACAAAGTAAAACGAGGGGAATAAATCAGAAACTGAACACTGAACATACAATATTTTATATGGTACAGTGAACACATCATTGTTTAGCGATGAAGTCGTCACAGAACCACGTGACATCGTAACAAAACCACGTGACGTGACCAAAGTAACGTGATTTTGCGGATGTCACGTGATATGCGAGGAAAACCGCGTATGCATCATCTCATATTAGGGCCAAATTATGACCCGATCATATTTCAACATTCCATGTTACATGTTATTAGTGTTTACAAAATGAATATATTTATTTTTTGGAGTTTCAAGCTCTCAAAAATACCTTGCTCAAAGCAGGCACACGCGTGCTGCAAGCAAAGCAACCCACCAAAAATCTTTCCTTGCGGTTCACAAATCCTTCATTCAAATAATTGTGGTTGTTGAAACTAAACCCGGAAAGATTAGAATTCAACAAAAATTACACTAGAACCCAGCAAGAATCTGATTTTTGGCGGCTTGCAATATCATATCTAGACACGCCAGATTTTCGAACTTTAAGATACTGTCGACTGAACTATAAATTACACATTTTAAATTATTTTAACATATTTTACGCTGATCAAAACCGTTTGAAAACATCAGCACTCTTAAAATGTCGCTCACCAGTGTACGTGCGTGTATCTAGTTAAATCCTTGAAGGAGTTTATGAAGGAGTCCCTAAACAAATTAAAAATAAAAATAAGCAAACTTTTACACCGGACCTTTAAAGAAACGAAAAAAATAGCAACCCAATAATTTTTGGAAAATATCACATGTCCAATATAATAATCATTCATTATATTACCAATCCTTGGAATAACAGGCCTAATTATATAAACTTCTAGAGCGACGAAAAGGGACCACACTACCGAACACATGTTAAAATTATCAGGCCTGGGGACTAGGGGCGACCACGTGAACAGTACACGTGCAATTTGTTGTAAATGTTTTACATTTCCAGATATTAAAATTACATTGCACATCTGGTTTACTTTAATGGTACTGAATGAAAAAGTTTTCTCTTTCCCTAGAAAATGAAACAGGTCTAGGCCATCAGGGAACGTAAAGTAATTACTAATTAAGTAATTACTAATTGAGCAATTACTAATTAAGTAACTCGATTAAAGTGATTGTTGCTACTTTACCCAACTCCTTTGCTTTTAAAAGTCTTAAAACACAATAATTAAGAATGATATAAACCGAACTACAAGACTAGGGACTGAGCTCTACCAGTTACATTCGCTTCCATATCTACTGGACACTTTGGGGTCGTTCACATATTACGTAATCAGCCGAGGGGGGAGGGGAGGGAGGTTTCCAAATGATTACGCTAGTGTAATTTTGACACAATAGTTATGCGTAAAAATGATTACGGAGGGGGGAATTGGCCAAAAAGTGATTACGTAATATGTGAACGACCCCTTTACTGTGTCGCACACAGATGCGACCAAGAAATAAAATGTGATCAGTTCATAATTCTAGATGAAAACCTTGCCAGGCATTTTTATAATACACGAAAACTAATCCCCAACAACCACAATATAAAAACTTCCACCATATAGTTTGTCATTTTAAGACGCAAGGTAAGACTGACGTTACAGCCTTTGGCTACCCGGTCAAGCCGTGTACAAAATATGAGCAGCAGTTCAACAACTTTCCTATTTCTCAAGTTCTGGACTTCAACGGAATACAAAACTCAGTGATTTTAACACGAAAGAGCTAGGCATACCAATGTTTTGGTAACAACTGTCAGCTATTTGTGTCGAATCAGATGAATTGAAGTATTCTGAAAAACTGCACCTGGCATTTCCCAGGATCCTAAAACGTCCAGCTTGAGAAATATTTGGTGGAATGTTGGTGTTTGAAATAGGTTTGGGCAGATATTTCTGGGTATGCTGGACGGCAACTGTTATCAGTCACGTGGTTTCTGTTCAAAGTGAGCTTTAAAGATGGGTTTTGCTACGTTTTGACGAGGTTTCAAATGGAAAATATGTAGCTGATTTTGATTTCATTAGGTGGGATGAGAAGATTTGTTAGACGAATAGTGCCCAACAAGTATGGAACAACTATGGTAGCGTGAGAAGGGCAATGTTTTGGGAACTCCAGTGCAGCTGACACGTCCTTCTGGAAGCTGTTAATATTGCAATCTACCGACTACTTAGTGAATACACTTTCCTACCCATATGCAAATATCAAAAGGAAAGCAGAATTTACCATACAGTAATACCGAGCAAAAAATTTTTAAGCAAGAAGCTAGCAAAACTATTTAACCAAACTCCAAAAAACACGATTATTCAAACAATTCGGGATTTACAATTCTCTTTCCCAATTCTACATGACCAGAGGAGCTTATCATATTTTTCGATCCAACCCTGTCACCTGACCTCATCGTTCAATGCTCACTCTCGCTCCTCTTTGCGAACGTCTATACAACCTGCTCTTGGCGACCGACTCTGTCATACAAATTCAATATATTAGGGGCACAATATGACACCTCTTTAAAGTTTTGTAGAAAGTAAGCTACACCGGGGAATGGAGACTATGCACTGTCCAGGGATGCTCCTTCACTCGTTTTTGCTGCGTCCCCGCGTCTCAGTGCGCTTCTTTGCGGTTCCAGGTGTTGCTGCGGCAGAGGTACTGGTGCTGGCGGCCTGTGCCTGTTCTTTCTGCTGACGCAGCATCGTCCAGTCGAAAATGTAGTCGTAGGAGTGATTGAGTGTGCGGAAGAGAAGACGGAATAGCTGCCGGAGATACATGTAGTCGGGGGCTTCCTCAAATCTTAAACCTCGGCAATAATTCAAGTAGCTTGAAAACTCGGACGGAAATCCTTTGGTTAATACATCGATAGGGGTGGACATCTTTTTCTCTGATATTTTTTCATACTTTTGTTTCTTTGTTCCAGCTTTGAGTCCCTGCCAAGGGAGGGATGATCGGTTGAAGTACATGAGCACGTACCCTAAACTCTCCATGTCATCTCTCCTGCTCTGCTCTATTCCCAAATGCGCGTTGATGCTGGCATATCGTGCGGTTCCTGTCAGGTTCTTATCCTCTCGGTACGGAATGTGGAGACGTGTACGGGAGTCACGATACTTCTTAGCAAGACCATAATCAATAAGAAACACTTTGTTACACTGCTTTAGTATGCCCATCAGGAAATTGTCTGGCTTTATGTCTCGATGGATGAAGTTTTTGTTGTGGAGGAATTCAATTCGACCTATCATCTGGTCTGCCAGCATGAGAACAGTTTTCATTGTAAAACGGCGAGAACAGAAATTGAACAAATCTTCCAGACTCGGGCCCAGGAGATCCATCACAAGCACATTGTAGTCTTGCTCTTGTCCGAAATATCTGAAATTTATAAAGTTCAGGATGACGTTGCATTCATTAATGCTACATGATAAAGTCAAGTACGTGTTTTGCTATAAAGAGCAATTCAAGTTCTTTTAACTATTAGGTCATATGATGCAAAGTAGTAAATTATATCACAGTTCATTACACTTGCAAGCTCATGAATGAAATTACATACTTCAGCGGGTATATGACATAGAAAGGCCTCACTATTCTGAACAGTTGATATAATTCAACTATAAATATCAAATAGGGACGATGGCTATATACGATGGTAGTATATATACCTGTATCAATCAATTATCAAGTAGACTAACAAATTAATCAATTAAGTTAACAAACCTTATGTGAGGTATTCCAACACCACCTTGAAATATTTTGTAGAGTTTGCTCTCGTACAGGAGCTGTGGGTGCCTGGATTTTACAGGCTCCAACTTCACTGCAACCTGTGATAGTGCAAAGTTAGTTGAATTTTCATATCAATATCACTTACATGATTTAACCGAACTAAAAAAGATGACCGGTAGCTAACTCAGTTCAATATTGAAAATGAATACCACTTCTTTAATAAATGAAATGAATACACTCGTACTTCAAATCAAATATTTGGTTAACTTGATTTTATTAATAATCTTTAATTTTTGTAGAATATTTAAAAAATAGAACTCTTACCTCTTCCCCAGTAAGAATATTAGTGCCAAGATATACATCGCCAAAAGAACCACTGCCTATCCTTCTTACTAATCTGTATTTTCCTGTTCAAGAACAGAAAATCATTGAATTGTACCAAAATGAAATAAGGCATTTATGACTTCATTGAAGATCTGTTTTTATCTACATTATCAATAAATTTCTTAAAAACGTTTACAAATGAACTAGGTAGTTAAATTTGATTTCTATATTAGTTCGAATAGTTTGAACCAGTTGTAAAACTAACCTCCGACTTGAATCTCTGCTTTGTTGTTAGAAGCCATTATATGCTATTAGGCTACTTTTTATAAGCAGGACACCCTTATCATGAAGGTAGGCCTTTTGGCTCTGCTAAGTGGAATTGTAAGTTAAAATCATTATTTGACCAATAACCTTTGATTCTAAATAAACAATAAACATATACAATTAAATAGATGACACTGTCAAATTTTTGATATTTTAACAACATCCGAAATCATGACATCCAAAATCATGAGTCATGACATCTTGTCATGATTTACAAATATCTGAGAAAGTTTACGAATATTTTAACCTGCCTTTTCTAGGCAAAACATGTCATGGAAAACGTTTCCGCATATTTGAAGGGGGTTATCATATAAAAAATATCCTTGTGTTTGAAGAATTATATCAAAATAGTTAAGATTTTTAAGGACTCGCCTGTAGCGGGCTTTGCTCCCATGGATCGGGCTCTGCCACTTTGGATCATTGTGAGGCCCAAAAATGCCCCATGGTGATAAAAACCACGAAATATTTCACCCAGATATGATAACATAAGACATATTTTTAATGATATTGACCTGGGGATGGGCAGTTTCTTGCCAAGCTCCTTACATGGCTACAGCTCTGCTTTAACTGGATCAATTAAGCGCTTTTGATTTAAATTACCACCTTAAAATCCATGTGGCAGTCATCACATGTATGGTATGCCTTGCTAGGATGATAGTGACTGTGACTGTGACAGTGACTGTATCACCCAGTTTTAACATTTGATAATTGTACAGTTTATTGACGACACATTGACTGAATGTTATTTTATATTCTAATTTATATTCTAGATATTTTATTTATTTTACAACAGACGACAACTTCCTGTTTTTTCTTCTATATTAGTTACTCATATCTCTTGTACAGACTTTTTTACAAGGACATTGACAAATGATACTCACATTAGGCATTCATTATTGCATCTAAATTATTTCACTTGCATTAGGCTTAGAAATTTATTCTCTGGTCAACAGATTTCAAATGTTTAATTAATTTGTAGTATGACAGTAAGGTATATAAGAAGTTATTTAATTTTGCTTGGGCTATTATATTGACTAGGTATTGAGGTTTAATGATGATATGGAATTTGAATTCTATATAAATTTACACTATGTGGTTGGGGCATTTTGCATAGTAAATATGGTTACTACTCATATATATCATATTATTTGATTGGTATTCGATTTCTGATTATTTCTCTAGGAATATGATTATTATATCTCAATTTGGCTTTAGGTAGGGTGCCCCGCTAAAAGAACTGGATTCTTCCAGGAAGCATCCCGTGCACAGAGCTTGGTCTACATATATATTAAATTATTAACCATTCATTCTGTATGTGCACGAAAATTTATTTCAATCAATCAATAAATGACAAGAAGTGTCTCCCAAACTCCTTAATGTCACATAGAAATGTGCAATGGCTTGAACTTGCAACAGGAGCAGAGAATGGTTTCAGAAAACATATAGGGGGGGGTGTCATGTCCGTCTATGTCCGCCTATGTCCTGTCCTTTTTGAATTCTATGAGACAACGGACGTGTTTTTTGGGACATTGGCGGACACGGACGGACATTGGCGGACTCGGACGGACATTTGCGGACTCGGACGGACATTTGCGGACCCGGACGGACATTGGCGGACTCGGACGGACATTGGTGGACATCAGCGGACATTGGTGGACATTAGCGGACAAACATTTTGAGAATTTTTCCCAGAAGGAGGATCTAGGTGGAGGAGGAGGAGAACTGAGGAGGATGACTCAGGAGGAGGAGGACTCAGGAGGAGGACTGAAGAGGACTGAGAAGGAGGAGGACTGAGGAGGATGGCTGAGGAGGATGGCTGAGGAGGATGACTGAGAGGGAGGAGGAGGAGGAAGAGGACTGAGGAGGAGGAGGAGAAGGACTGAGGGGGAGAAGGAGGACCTAGGAGGAGGAGGACCCAGGAGGAGGACCCAGGAAAAGGCCCCAGAAGGAGGAGGAGGACTGGGGAGGAGGAGGACTGTTGAGGACTGATGAGGTGAACTGAGGACGAGGAGGAGGAGTAGGAGGAGGACTGAGGAGGGGAGGAGGAAGAGGACTGGGGAGGATCAGGAAGACCCAGGAGGAGGACCCAGGAGGAGGAGGAGGAGGACCCAGGAGGAGGAGGAGGACTGAGGAGGACTGAGGAGGAGGACTGACGATGACTGAGAAGGAGGAGGACTGAGGAGTACTGAGGAGGATGGCTGAGGAGGATGGCTGAGGAGGATGGCTGAGGAGGATGACTGAGAGGGAGGAGGAGGAGGACTCAGGAGGAAGAGGAGGAGGAGGACTCAGGAGGACTTAGGAGAAATGAGAAGGAGGACTGAAAACTGAGGAGGAGGAGGAGGAGGAGGACTGAATAGGAGGAGGAGAAGGAGGGGGACTGGGAGAGGACTGAGCAGGAGGAGGACTGATGAGAAGGATGAGGAGGAGGACTGAGGACCGAGGAGGAAGAGGAGGAGGATGAAGAGGAGGAGGAGGACCCAGGAGGAGGAGGACTGAGGAGGAGGACTGAGGAGGATGGCTGAGGAGGATGACCGAGAGGGAAGAGGAGGAGGAGGAGGAGGAGGACTCAGGAGGAGAAGGAGGAGAACTAAGGAGGACTGAGAAGGAGGAGGACTGAGGAGAAAGAGGAGGAGGAGGAGGACTGAATAGGAGGAGGATGAGGGGGACTGGGGGAGGACTGAGGAGGAGGATGAAGGACTGAGGAGAAGGATGAGGAGGAGGACTGAGGAGAACTGAGGAGGAGGAGGAGGACTGAATAGGAGGAGAAGGAGGGGGACTGGGAGAGGACTGAGCAGGAGGAGGACTGATGAGAAGGATGAGGAGGAGGACTGAGGAGGAGGACTGAGGACCGAGGAGGAAGAGGAGGAGGATGAAGAGGAGGAGGAGGACTCAGGAGGAGGAGGACTGAGGAGGACTGAGGAGGATGGCTGAGGAGGATGACTGAGAGGGAAGAGGAGGAGGAGGAGGAGGAGGACTCAGGAGGAGAAGGACTCAGGAGGAGAAGGAGGAGGACTAAGGAGGACTGAGAAGGAGGAGGACTGAGGAGAAGGAGGAGGAGGAGGAGGAGGACTGAATAGGAGGAGGATGAGGGGGACTGGGGGAGGACTGAGGAGGATGAAGGACTGAGGAGAAGGATGAGGAGGAGGACTGAGGAGGACTGAGGAGGACTGAGGACTGAGGAGGAAGAGGAGGAGGATGAAGAGGAGGAGGAGGACCCAGGACGAGGACCCAGGACGAGGACTCAGGAGGAGGAAGACTGGGGAGGAGGAGGACTGTTGAGGACTGATGAGGAGGACTGAGGACGAGGATGAGGAGTAGGAGGAGGACTGAGGAGGGGAGGAGGAAGAGGACTGAGGAAGATCAGGAAGACCCAGGAGGAGGAGGAGGAAGAGTAGGAGGAGGAAGCATCTAAATGTTGTTTCCATTTTTGTCCGTTTTTGTCCATTTTTGTCCGTTTTTGTCCGCTCTATTTTTTGTCCGTTTTGAAAATATAGGGTACCGAACGGTGGAGGAGGACTGAGGAGGGGAGGAGAAAGAGGACTGGGGAGGATCGGGAAGACCCAGGAGGAGGACCGAGGAGGAGGAGGACCCAGGAGGAGGACGAGGACTGACGAGGACTGACGAGGAGGACTGACGATGACTGAGAAGGAGGAGGACTGAGGATGGCTGAGGAGGATGGCTGAGGAGGATGACTGAGAGGGAGGAGGAGGAGGACTCAGGAGGAGGACTCAGGAGTAAGAGGAGGAGGAGGACTCAGGAGGAGGACTTAGGAGAAATGAGAAGGAGGACTGAGGAGAACTGAGGAGGAGGAGGAGGAGGACTGAATAGGAGGAGGAGAAGGAGGGGGAAGAGGAGGAGGATGAAGAGGAGGAGGAGGACCCAGGAGGACTGAGGAGGATGGCTGAGGAGGATGACTGAGATGGAAGAGGAGGAGGAGGACTCAGGAGGAGGAGGAGGAGGACTGAGGAGGACTGAGAAGGAGGAGGACTGAGGAGGAGGAGGAGGACTGAATAGGAGGAGGAGGGGGACTGGGGGAGGACTGAGGAGGAGGATGGAGGACTGAGGAGAAGGATGAGGAGGAGGACTGAGGAGGACTGAGGAGGACTGAGGAGGAAGAGGAGGAGGATGAAGAGGAGGAGGAGGACCCAGGAGGAGGACCCAGGAGGAGGAGGAGGACTGGGGAGGAGGAGGACTGTTGAGGACTGATGAGGAGGACTGAGGACGAGGAGGAGGAGTAGTAGGAGGACTGAGGAGGGGAGGAGGAAGAGGACTGAGGAAGATCAGGAAGACCCAGGAGGAGGAGGAGGAAGAGTAGGAGGAGGAAGCATCTAAATGTTATTTCCATTTTTGTCCGTTTTTGTCCGCTCTATTTTTTGTCCGTTTTGAAAATATAGGGTACCAAACGGACAAAAAACATGATCCCCCCCCCTATAACAGCAAAAATTGAACATTTTATTTAGCAATTTAGGTGTCCATTAATGTCCGTTAATGTCCGTTAATGTCCGCTAATGTCCGTCTATGTCCGCCTATGTCCGTCTATGTCCGCCTATGTCCGCCTATGTCCGCCTATGTCCGTCTATGTCCTGTCCTTTTTGGATTCTATGAGACAAGCGGACATAGACGGACGTGACACCCCCCCCCCCGGCCCCCCATATAGCTTCATTCGTCCTTCTGCTTATCTTTGTCATGGCAATGTCAGAGAGTAAAAACCATTTTAAAATCCTGCACAGCTGATTGAAGCTTCTTTAAATTATTTGTTATCCTTATTTTATCGTTGCGTAAATTTTATTCTAATTCTATTTGGACAGTTTGATTCTGAATCTTGATCTTCCCTGATAAAAGCCATTGCTTTAAACCTTTAAGCTTCAATTTCCATGTCTCAGCTCCTACTGTTGTGAAGATACTTCCTTCCTTTATATATTCTTCATTATATATAAAGGAATTGTTAAAGGGAAATCCTGTTTGTCGGATTTATTAAATTCACGGCCCCGGCCCCGGCCAAATTCCAGAACGGCCAATTCCCGGCCCCGGCAAAATTTGGACATTC